GGACAAGTCTACCCAGTGCACCGCTTACGGGAGGACAGGTCTACCCCGTGCACTCGGGGCAGGGACGAACAGGTCTACCCAGTGCACCCGTGGCAGGGGCGAACAGGTCTACCCAGTGCACCGCTTACGGGAGGACAAGTCTACCCCGTGCACTCGGGGCAGGGACGAACAGGTCTACCCGGTGCACCGCTTACGGGAGGACAAGTCTACACCGTGCACTCGGGGCAGGGACGAACAGGTCTACCCAGTGCACCCGTGGCAGGGGCGAACAGGTCTACCCAGTGCAGCGCTTACGGGAGGACAAGTCTACCCATTGCACTCGGGGCAGGGGCGAACAGGTCTACCCAGTGCACCAGTAACGGGAGGACAAGTCTACCCAGTGCAGCGCTTACGGGAGGACAAGTCTACCCATTGCACTCGAGGCAGGGGCGAACAGGTCTACCCAGTGCACCAGTAACGGGAGGACAAGTCTACCCAGTGCAGCGCTTACGGGAGGACAAGTCTACCCCGTGCACTCGGGGCACGGACGAACAGGTCTACCCAGGTCACCCGTGGCAGGGGCGAACAGGTCTACCCAATGCAGCGCTTACGGGAGGACAAGTCTACCCATTGCACTCGGGGCAGGGGCGAACAGGTCTACCCATTTCACCAGTAACGGGAGGACAAGTCTACCCAGTGCACCGCTTACGGGAGGACAGGTCTACCCCGTGCACTCGGGGCAGGGACGAACAGGTCTACCCATTGCACCCGTGGCAGGGGCGAACAGGTCTACCCAATACAGCGCTTACGGGAGGACAAGTCTACCCATTGCACCCGGGGCAGGGGCGAACAGGTCTACCCAGTGCACCAGTAACGGGAGGACAAGTCTACCCCGTGCAGCGCTTACGGGAGGACAAGTCTACCCATTGCACTCGAGGCAGGGGCGAACAGGTCTACCCAGTGCACCCGTGGCAGGGGCGAACAGGTCTACCCAGTGCAGCGCTTACGGGAGGACAAGTCTACCCCGTGCACTCGGGGCAGGGACGAACAGGTCTACCCGGTGCACCGCTTACGGGAGGACAAGTCTACCCCGTGCACTCGGGGCAGGGACGAACAGGTCTACCCGGTGCACCGCTTACGGGAGGACAAGTCTACCCATTGCACCCGGGGCAGGGAAGAACAGGTCTACCCAGTGCACCGCTTACGGGAGGACAAGTCTACCCCGTGCACTCGGGGCATGGACGAACAGGTCTACCCAGTGCACCGCTTACGGGAGGACAAGTCTACCCCGTGCACTCGGGGCAGGGACGAACAGGTCTACCCGGTGCACCGCTTACGGGAGGACAAGTCTACCTCGTGCACTCGGGGCAGGGACGAACAGGTCTACCCATTGCACCCGTGGCAGGGGCGAACAGGTCTACCCAATGCAGCGCTTACGGGAGGACAAGTCTACCCATTGCACCCGGGGCAGGGGCGAACAGGTCTACCCAGTGCACCAGTAACGGGAGGACAAGTCTACCCCGTGCAGCGCTTACGGGAGGACAAGTCTACCCATTGCACTCGAGGCAGGGGCGAACAGGTCTACCCAGTGCACCCGTGGCAGGGGCGAACAGGTCTACCCAGTGCAGCGCTTACGGGAGGACAAGTCTACCCCGTGCACTCGGGGCAGGGACGAACAGGTCTACCCGGTGCACCGCTTACGGGAGGACAAGTCTACCCCGTGCACTCGGGGCAGGGACGAACAGGTCTACCCAGTGCACCGCTTACGGGAGGACAAGTCTACCCCGTGCACTCGGGGCAGGGACGAACAGGTCTACCCGGTGCACCGCTTACGGGAGGACAAGTCTACCCATTGCACCCGGGGCAGGGAAGAACAGGTCTACCCAGTGCACCGCTTACGGGAGGACAAGTCTACCCCGTGCACTCGGGGCATGGACGAACAGGTCTACCCAGTGCACCGCTTACGGGAGGACAAGTCTACCCCGTGCACTCGGGGCAGGGACGAACAGGTCTACCCAGTGCACCGCTTACGGGAGGACAAGTCTACCCCGTGCACTCGGGGCAGGGACGAACAGGTCTACCCGGTGCACCGCTTACGGGAGGACAAGTCTACCTCGTGCACTCGGGGCAGGGACGAACAGGTCTACCCAGTGCACCGCTTACGGGAGGACAAGTCTACCCCGTGCACTCGGGGCAGGGACGAACAGGTCTACCCGGTGCACCGCTTACGGGAGGACAAGTCTACCCATTGCACCCGGGGCAGGGAAGAACAGGTCTACCCAGTGCACCGCTTACGGGAGGACAAGTCTACCCCGTGCACTCGGGGCATGGACGAACAGGTCTACCCAGTGCACCGCTTACGGGAGGACAAGTCTACCCCGTGCACTCGGGGCAGGGACGAACAGGTCTACCCAGTGCACCGCTTACGGGAGGACAAGTCTACCCCGTGCACTCGGGGCAGGGACGAACAGGTCTACCCGGTGCACCGCTTACGGGAGGACAAGTCTACCCATTGCACCCGGGGCAGGGGCGAACAGGTCTACCCAGTGCACCAGTAACGGGAGGACAAGTCTACCCCGTGCACTCGGGGCAGGGACGAACAGGTCTACCCAGTGCACCGCTTACGGGAGGACAAGTCTACCCCGTGCACTCGGGGCAGGGACGAACAGGTCTACCCAGTGCACCGCTTACGGGAGGACAAGTCTACCCATTGCACTCGAGGCAGGGGCGAACAGGTCTACCCAGTGCACCCGTGGCAGGGGCGAACAGGTCTACCCAGTGCAGCGCTTACGGGAGGACAAGTCTACCCCGTGCACTCGGGGCAGGGACGAACAGGTCTACCCAGTGCACCGCTTACGGGAGGACAAGTCTACCCCGTGCACTCGGGGCAGGGACGAACAGGTCTACCCGGTGCACCGCTTACGGGAGGACAAGTCTACCCATTGCACCCGGGGCAGGGGCGAACAGGTCTACCCATTTCACCAGTAACGGGAGGACAAGTCTACCCCGTGCACTCGGGGCAGGGACGAACAGGTCTACCCATTGCACCCGTGGCAGGGGCGAACAGGTCTACCCAATGCAGCGCTTACGGGAGGACAAGTCTACCCAATGCACCCGGGGCAGGGGCGAACAGGTCTACCCAGTGCACCAGTAACGGGAGGACAAGTCTACCCCGTGCAGCGCTTACGGGAGGACAAGTCTACCCATTGCACTCGAGGCAGGGGCGAACAGGTCTACCCAGTGCACCCGTGGCAGGGGCGAACAGGTCTACCCAGTGCAGCGCTTACGGGAGGACAAGTCTACCCCGTGCACTCGGGGCAGGGACGAACAGGTCTACCCAGTGCACCGCTTACGGGAGGACAAGTCTACCCCGTGCACTCGGGGCAGGGACGAACAGGTCTACCCAGGTGCACCGCTTACGGGAGGACAAGTCTACCCCGTGCACTCGGGGCAGGGACGAACAGGTCTACCCGGTGCACCGCTTACGGGAGGACAAGTCTACCCATTGCACCCGGGGCAGGGAAGAACAGGTCTACCCAGTGCACCGCTTACGGGAGGACAAGTCTACCCCGTGCACTCGGGGCATGGACGAACAGGTCTACCCAGTGCACCGCTTACGGGAGGACAAGTCTACCCCGTGCACTCGGGGCAGGGACGAACAGGTCTACCCGGTGCACCGCTTACGGGAGGACAAGTCTACCCATTGCACCCGGGGCAGGGGCGAACAGGTCTACCCAGTGCACCAGTAACGGGAGGACAAGTCTACCCCGTGCACTCGGGGCAGGGACGAACAGGTCTACCCAGTGCACCGCTTACGGGAGGACA